TATAACAAATGAAATTATAGCATCCATAGTTTACTGAATTGCTGAATTTGGAGGTTAAAATGATGGTTGAGAACAGTAATGTCTGTAGATAAACTGCTTTGTCTAAAAATAACAATAATTAGGAATATTTGTTTAGTAATCAGAAACTCAGTGCCTAAATGTTAGAAATGTTGGAGGTCTATAGGGCACAGTTCCTTTTACAAAACAAAAATGTTCCCAAATGCTAAGCGTGGATAAGCAGAAACCAAAATAATTCTTCTTGTAAATGTATGTTTGTAGTCAAAAGTGTAGCAGAAGGATTCGCCCGCGCAAGGACCTCAGGTCTGGTGAAGACGACCGTGTTCCCCCTAGGATTGAAGTAGCCAAGGAAATAATTTGTTTAAGCTGTCGCTGCAGCTGACGGGCAGAGGGAGGACAGAGCTAAGGGCTTGCTAATGGCTGGTTCCACCCTGCACCACAGCCACCCCGGTTTCCTTGTAAGGCTGCTTTTACTTTTTACTTCTGAAAACTTGGTCTAGGTAGAAGTGAAGACTTTCAGTGTCCACCTGGAATTTGCACAGTTGTCGTAGCCCGGTTGCAGTTGTGGCTGTGGCCGCCGCCAGGCTGCGGAGCCGCTGGAAATCCCGGCAAAGTCAGCGAGTCCAGGTGGGTGCAGCAGCTCCGGGGCCTCGGGGCTGCGTCCAAGTCAGGGCTGTGGCGCACGTACAAGCGTCTTTACTCGCGGCATGCGTCAGGTGCATCCGGCTGGGTACTCGCAAGTCATCTCTGCAGCACAAGCCTGTCGCCAGCAAAAGCCTGTATGGGCCTGCTGTGAAAACCCCGGAGGGAAGCGCGTAGAGTCGTCTCCTCGTCCCGGCTGCCTGCGCCAGTCGGTAGTCTGCCCCTCCAGCCGCGGGACCCTTCCCCGCGCGCGCCGTGACACCCCGTCCGGCCCTGGTCGCGCTTCCGTGTCTGACCAACCTGAGACTTTTCCCTTTCCGTGAGCTGGGCTGTTCTTGAGCCAAAAGCTGCATAAACAGATCTGGAAATAGATAGGTTTTTCAATGAGTAGTTGCTATTTGAGTAATTCTGCTGAAGTGGGAGGCGGAGGGTGCTTGGTATTTGCCAATATTAAGGGAGAAATTGTTAAATTCTCTAAAAGCAATGCGTGTTGCCAGGTTTTTCTGATAGTTGCTAGGAAGAAGATTACTAATCAAACTTCCATAATCAAAAATCTGTTAGGTATTTCTGTTTAAAGATAGAAAGAGT